ACTTCTTTAGATACACACATGCCACCAACACTCTCTACCTTTGGCTTATTGATGAGCAAGAAAATACGAAAAGGAAAAGGAACTATGGGTCATCCTATCTTTCTATATCATTATTTTCAACATAAGTGGTTGGCTACTACAGGAAAGTAGCACAAGTAAATCTATGATAGGGTTCCTTGGTAGTTTATATTTTTTAGAACACCAATGCCTGCTTTCTGCACTCAAAGCAAGTTCTGGTTTGAATGGGAAGCCCAGCTTCTTGGGGTTGTCAGAGACTGGGGTTAGTCACAGACATGACATCCTTTCTTTGTACTCTGCACTCCTGCACACGGTGGGTCCACTGTGCCCATGAGCACGGCACACACTATATGCCCCTCGGAGTACGGAACAACTACAGACAAAACATCCAGCAAACTCCTCTGTTCACTCGCACACCCCATGGTTCCATCGGGATTCATGTACAAGATACAAGTTCAAGACTAAGAATTTTAAGATGGCAAAAGAAGAGCATTATACCAAGCGTAGGTCCCTTCTGAACACGGGACCTTGTGTGATGCACACGTTTTATGCCCGTGAAGCCAGCCCTGCTTATCAAGCATGCTCACAGCACACTGATTTTCAAAAAACACTGTCTTCACAGTGATCTGCTTCCCAAGGCAAGGCCTATTATAACACAGGAAGTGGAAACTATACTTTGTTGGAAAAAGGTGCTGTTGATGTGAAAAGACAACCCTAATTCACCATTTCTTGCCAAAGAAATAAACCGGAAGTCCTTGTGTATCTATTCAGCAAAGGAACAGGTGTAAAATTAAATTCTGGGTGAGTTTCCTTGAAGTTCTGTTGAGTGTACAGGATGGAAGAAAACATTCCACCTTCAGATTTTAGGGTCTTAAATCTGTCATTCCTTCCTAGATGTGTGAAAGCTGACCATGGCCTTTGGTTCAGTGGTTTTCGTTTACTCAACAGAATTCTGGGGGTCCTGAATTTTTTAGGAGTTCTGCTAGTGATACATGTTCTTCCCCAATCCTCGAAGGTTCATCCTGCTTTTTGCTGTAGTGGGTTTCTCCACTGACGGTACCTCCAAGGAATCAGTCTTCCTCTGAAGGAAAAGGAATTCAGCCACTGTGCTTGGGTGGTGGTTAAAGCGGAAATCACAAACTGCTATTCTTTTAACAAACACCCAATATTTGTGGGAGCTTTCAGCAAGAGAAGTAAATTCCCATGTGTTACTGGGTCTTACAAATGTCTTGATATTTCTGTTCTTCTTTTGATTGTTGTCATCATAAAGAAATTTATAATTCATTGTCATATTTATAAAAATTTCCATCATAGTTTCCAAGTTTTACAACTGCTGAGAAAAGTCTTTGTAATTCTTTTCACTATTTCTTGTCATCTTTGTCTCTATATTTCTGAATAGTATGTTTTAACTAATATCTCTTGATTTATCAGTTTTAGACATTATACATTGTCCTCTTAAAAGGAAGTTGAGAATTTGGCTTTATCACCTTCCCTTTCTTCCTGATGTATCATAACATTTGGTTAAATCAATGTTCAGCATTTTCATCATTATGACTAAGTAAATATTGTTCATTGTCGTGTCAAGTGGTATACTCTATGTTTCCTTGTACACCTTTTTGTTCCTAGTGCAAACAATATTTTTCTAACTTTTTATTAACCTGGTGTCCTATGTTTCTTAGTCTTTCATGCCTCGTTCTTACAGGATCAAAACCCTCAAGCAATCATTTTCATCTATTCCCCTGAAGACCTCACTTTTAGAATGCCCCATTCTCCTATTCAATATAGGCTATTTATTTTTTAAACCTGCTACACAGCTGTCATCCGTGTACACCCATTCAATACACTTACATTAGGACCCCATTTCAGGTATCCTAACTTACTCTTTTTCATGTTGGTTTTTCTCTCCAGTGGCTCCCTGACAAAGTGTGCAAGGGAGGTAACTTCTTTGAGACCTTTTGTGTCTGAAAGTATTTTTATTCTATCCTCCCTTGTGATTATTAGAGAATTTTAGGTTGGATACCATTGCTGGTCAGAATTTTGAAAGCTAGAATCATAGCTTCATTGGAATTATAGCTCCCTTATAATTGGCTATAGGTTGTTCTTTCTCCTGATATTTTTCTCCACGGTTCTCTGAAATAGCCCACAGACAGGCCTCACTGTGTTCCCCCCACAACACACACGCACTATTTTTCATCGTTCTTGGTAGTCTCTTTGAATTTAGAAGCTCAGTCCTTTAGTTCTGAGTAGTATTTTAGAATACATTTATAAAATAATTTCTTCATCATTTCTCCCTTCTCGCTTTCCAGAAGACCTAAAGGTTATTCTTGGACCAAGTCTCTAATTTTCTAATCTTTTATCTGTGAACAAGAGTTCTCCAAAATGACTTAAAGGAAAGAGACTTTATTCCAGAGAATACTTTCCAAACCAAGGAGATGCAGCCTTCCCTATGAAATGAAGGTGTAATCCAGGTAACATAGAGAGGGTGTCTCTTTTATAGAGAAAGTCCCTGCACATGTTCCCACTCAGGTCTTCTTATGCAAATGAAGGACTCAAACTTGCTTAGGTCAGAATGATTGACTTTTGCTGAGCTCTCATTGGTGAACACTTGCTGAGTTCTGATTGATTGACGTAGTCACAGCCTATTAGTTGGTTCCAGCAGCAAAAACAGGAAGAGGCAGCTATCAAATTCCCAAAGTTAAGCAGAGGTAGGGGTTTTCCAGGAACTCAGAATATGTGTGTGACTTCTAGTCAGCAAGTGGCCACTTGGCTCTAATTTGAATTTAGGCCCATTTAGCCACTCAGGATTCATCTTGAGGGATTGGCTCTCTCAAGGTTCATATATCCATCTTTTTATATTTTTGTTCTACTTTCAGGGAGATTTTTTTAAAGTTTATTTTCCAACTCATCTACAGAATTTTTATTTTGGAAGTTAGTTTTTAATTCTAAGAGGTCTTTCTTGTTCTTGGTGTTCAATTTTAATGCTATCCTATCCATGTTTTGAATATGCAGTATTTTTGTTACTTCTTAGAGTAATAATTATTATATATAGGTAGGTTTTTTTTAAAGTTTTCTTCAGCTTTTTTTATTATCTATATTTCTCCTGAGTGCTATTATTTGTTTGTTTGAGTCTCTGTCTTTCATGTTGGAGCATTTTTCAGTGCATGGTGGTGATCTTTGAAATGCTGTTCATTTTCCAAAGTAAGGCCTTAAATATTTGGAGGCTCTGTGCGTAAGTGTCTGCACTTCACTCTAGGGTGGTTGTGTGATGAGCTTCCTTTTTGTGGGGAACACTCAACTGTCTGTATCTGGAGGTCTTTTCTCTAGGATTCTTCGGGCTCCCCAGAGAAATATCCAACAATTGGGTATGAATACATAATTTGCAGGCCCAGTGCAAAATGAAAATGTGAGGCCTCTTGCTCAAAAGTCAGAAAAAAAGTTGAATTAGAAATACTAAAATAAAAATCTTTTTCTTTAAAAATATCTTATTACTTGTAACATGTAATGGGGTAATAGTGATACATATGTAACAACATAAACTACAAACTACAAGAAAAAATTTCGGTGTCATAATTTTATGTACTACAATAAACTATGATACTTTAATAATGTAATGTCTTGATTGATTGACAAATTTTTCTGGCTTTCTTTTCTGCAAACTCATTTATTAGGTCATGAGTGAAAATTTATAGTTTTACCAACTTCGATTCTTCAATCTATGTAATTAAAAATAATGGCAATTGTTCTTGGCAAATGCAGGATCTCAAATAACTTTTTATAATTTTTAATTTTAAGAAGGAAAACTAGGTGGAAAGAACAATATGAACAATGGCAAAGAGAGGGGAAAGAGGGGAGTGGTAAAACAGGTGAATGAACAACTCAGTGAGGTAAGATCTACATCAAGAGGAATCTTAAATGCCAAGCACAAAACTATAAGAAATGACAAGACATAGGGCACAGAGGCTACGAGTGGAAAAGAGGAGCAACTAGAGATGTAGAAGAATTCTCACAAAGCAACTGTCTGAAACTCAATCAGACTGAGGTGATCAGTACCGAACATAACCAAAAGAGCGTAGGAGAAAAAATGAAAGAAATGATGCTTGGATTGGAGATATATCATGATTAGTGACCTTTGAGAGATTAATTTCAATAAAATGGTGGGATCAAAATTCAGAAATAAGAGGTGAAAAGTGAAGAAGTAAATGCAGAAAAGCATTCTAGAAAAAGACAGTAAAAGGAAGGAGTACAAAAATATGAGAAATCTAGAGACAGAAAGGGAACACAGAGGTCATAATCTAGACCCTTCATTTTATAGATGAGGAAACCGAGGCCCAGAGGGGTTAAACCCATTCCCTTACTTAACCTGGTTAGCAACAGAGCTTAGACAGAAAACCAGTACAGATGAAATGGTAATTCAGGAAGGATAAGGATCAGGGAAAGGCTCTCTGTCTCCAAAGAGGGTTCCATTTAATTCCTCAGTTTCCATTTAGCATCTCACCTCCTTCTTCTGGTATCATGGGCCCATGGCCTTAAAATTATTTTCAACATATCTGATAGAAAATTATGACTATGATGATTCACTTGCTGGAGAAAATGCAATGTTGTTGGCTTGGGCAAGGGAAAGAGAAATTTGTCTATCATACTTTTTTATTCTTATAGGAATTTTATATTCCTAAAGCCTGAAAGATAGACAGGAAGGATTACTCATACTAAATTTGAAATGCAACACTATAATAATCTTGATAATACTCCACCCTGTCCAATTCCAGAGATAACAAATAACCCCAAGGTAACTATCCACCTACAGAAATAGACATTGTAGGGTAAAGACAGTCATTAAAAGAAAAATCACTCAATTATGGATAATTCCCAATGAGCTGACAAACACCATTTCGCTATGAGTAGCAAAGTTCATTAAGAAACACCCTAATAACGTGTGTATAAAAGCAAACTAACCTTGAGCAGGACATTCGCCATCAGAGCATCCCTCCAGGAACAAACGCTCCAGTCTGGACACCATGTCCTTGCGGTTTTCTTCTGCATCCAGACGGCTTGCCTCTTGCGGGGGTGCAGGCTCCGTGAGGCTCTCTAGTGGGGGAGCAGGCTTTGGAGCCGGAAACGCATGCGGTGTGCCAGGCATTGGAAGTGGCTTCTCTTGCGCCTTTGGGGGCAGCTCATCTGCTGGAGGCTATGGTGGAGGGCTCGGAGCGGGGAGTGCTTCTTGCGCTGCTTTCACCGGGAATGAACACGGCCTCCTCTCCGGCAACGAGAAAGTGACCATGCAAAACCTCAACGACCGCTTGGCCTCCTACCTGGATAATGTTCGAGCACTGGAGGAGGCCAACGCTGACCTGGAGCAGAAGATCAAGGGGTGGTATGAGAAATTCGGACCTGGTTCTTGCCGCGGTCTTGATCATGATTACAGCAGGTACTTCCCAATAATTGACGACCTTAAGAACCAGGTAAGAAACGCACTAGCATAAGTTAACATTCATGAGAGTATGTAGCCACTCGCATATGCCCAGATGTATAAGCGATCACAATAACAGGGCTTTGCCCTCAGCTTTTAAATTTGGGGAGTTCATTATCAATATTAGAAATAATTTATACTAAAACGCTAATCTTTGAACATGGCCCACCCATCATGTGGTTTTAGGTATGCATGTATGCATTTTGCAATATTAAAATATCAAAAACTTCCCAGTGTCTCCAGCTATATATTTATATGCTTTCCCATAAAAAGGAAAGGGTAGGGTGGGAAAAAAAAGAGGCCATACTTAAATTTCCCATTTTCAAAAGAATCATCTTATTATTAGAGACAGATGCCAGAAATATTACTAGAATTTCATAGGTAACTTTATTTCAAGGAAATTTGAAATGTCTTTTTAATATGTCCTCACTCTTAACTCTCCTTTTATCAGATAATTTCTGCAACTGCAAGTAATGCCAGTGTTGTCCTGCAAAACGACAATGCAAGACTAACAGCTGATGACTTTAGACTAAAGTGAGTAGGGCTGAAGAGAGACAGAAAAAAAGGTTATCTAGGCATTTTCCTCTTTTATTTAGGTTATTTGAGGTTGGCTCAATTCTTTGTTTTTATTTATTTATTTATTTGTTTTAAACCAAATGCATATTAGAATGACTGGCTGAATAATATATTTTTACTTGGGCAATTTGAGGGCTAACACGAATGAAGGCTAAGGTCACATGAGAGAGAATTTTGAGTATTCCCATCTCTTGCTTCAAAGAAAATGATTTGTTTCTTGCACCGTGGGTGACCTCCCTGAAGTTTTAAATATTATTTTAAGAGTTTTACCCCAAAGCTTTGTTCGAGCTTTATGATGAGCTAAACAGTACTGTGACTCATGTCTAACTACTGCTGATAAAACTTTCTGATACTTTTCTAAGGTTTGAAAATGAACTGGCCCTGCACCAGAGCGTGGAGGCGGACATCAACGGTTTGCGCAGAGTCCTGGACGAGCTGACCTTGTGCAGAACAGACCTGGAGATCCAGCTGGAGACGCTGAGCGAGGAGCTGGCTTATCTCAAGAAGAATCACGAGGAGGTGGGTGCTCCACCTCGCTGACTTTCACAAACCGCCTCCCTCCCAAAGTTGAAAATTCACTTCCGAGGATGACTGTCACATTCAAGAAGGAACTTGTCTATTTCGCCACGTGGCTTAAATTGTTCGAAATGTTTCTAGTCTCAAAAGAGACAAATTCCCCCGCCCCCCCCTCCCCCCGCCGCCAAAAAAAAAAGTTTCTAGCCTTATGGATCCTGTCCGGTCTGGTTCCTTTTAAAAAACATATTCAGATCCTAATTCGGTTAAACAAATCTCTTCCAGGAAATGAAGGCTCTGCAGTGCGCGGCCGGCGGCAACGTGAACGTGGAGATGAACGCGGCCCCCGGGGTGGACCTCACCGTCCTGCTGAACAACATGCGCGCTGAGTACGAAGCCCTTGCGGAGCAGAACCGCAGGGATGCGGAGGCCTGGTTCAATGAGAAGGTAAAACCACCCCAGGGTGCGCTTAACCTGGCACTGGGTGCAGACGCAGCCAACATGGCCCTAACACAGACTCCTGATGTTTCAGAGCGCTTCCCTGCAGCAGCAGATTTCTGACGACGCTGGTGCCACCACCTCAGCTCGGAATGAACTTACTGAGATGAAACGTACTCTTCAAACCCTGGAGATTGAACTTCAGTCCCTCTTAGCAATGGTAAGCAAAAAGTACGGAACAGATTTGCTTTAGAAATTGGGGGAGAAAAAATTAAAGAGAATTTCCTTCCGGATAATAGTATTTTAGTTTTTATCCGCTAATTACTATGCTCGGCATAAGACACATGTGCATTTTGCACACGAGAATCCTCTTTGCCTGACAATATAGCTAGATGCTAATAATTATGAAACATTAGAAATTAGCAAATACAATTATTTCAAGATACTCAAAAAAGAAAATAGTTTTCACTCTGAATCCTCTCCCCAAAGTCAAAAGATTAAAAACCACTGCTTATGTTCTCACTCATATTCAAAAGCTAAAAAAAATGGATCTCATAGAAGTAGAGGGTAGAATAGTGGTTACTAGAGGTTAGGAAGGGTAGGGGGTGGGAGGAATAGGGAGAGGTTGGTTAAAGAATACAAAATCGCATTTAGATAAGAGGCATAATTTCTAGGGTTCTGTAGCACTGTAGGGTGACTATAATTAGCAATAACTGTTATATATTTTCAAATAGAAGAAAAGATTTTGAATGTTCCCAACATACAAAAAAAATGATAAATGTTTTTGCTGATGGATATGTTAATCGTCCTAATTCTATCACCATACATCATATGTATTGAAATATTACCATGTACCCTATAAATATATACAATTATTATGTGTCAACATTTTTAGAAAAGAAAAAAAAACCTCTGCTTGTGAAGAGAAAAAATACATTTGCACCCCTCCTAACTTCACCTGACATTTCTTTTGGCTACTTAATTAAAGCACTCACAAGTTCCTTTTTAAGTGGCATAAACAAGAAGCAAAGTAGAGGCGTGAAGGTTGACTATAAAGCTCACCATGCTAATGATAATAATAACCTCTGTCATTAAGGGCTCGCCCAGCACTTCCAGCCACATGTGAGTCCACAGTAACCCTGGAGCGAGGGCAGGGCAAACTCCATAACTCATGTCATTATTTCCAAAAGAGGAATCTTGAGTGTCGAAGAAGTTAAGCAATTCCCGGAGTCCCACAGTTGGATCTGAAGGAACCAGAATTTCTCTCCAAATTTTCTAATTCCCAAGTCTATCTTTTTCCCACTATGGCTAGTAAAACTCCAGAATTTATTCACGAAAGAGGGTACGACTGTATATAAAATCAGGACTTTATATAAAAGTACTTGCAGATGAAAGGGTAAGACACTTTCATCTTCATTCATTGTAAAATTACAGCAAGCGTTCCCTCTGTGGATCTTTATAAATTTGGATTCACAAGCCAATGCATCAAACCACTGTATTTTTTTTTCTTTTATTTCAACATATTATGGGGGTACAGATGTTTAGGTTACATATGTTGTCCTTGGTCCCCCCTCCATAAAGCCTAAAAAGGTAATTCTTTTCTTTGGTTTATTCTACTCATGGAAAGTTTATGAAGTTTACTGTAGGATTATTTTTTTAACAGAAGAGCTACAACCCTCATGAAACAAGACTATCACGTGACTAGAAATGAGGTAGCAAAAGTGTAGAGGGAATTTTATTAGTGGGGAAGGTGGCAAGTTGTGCCAGACTCTGCAAGCACGGGCTATATTGGTATGGGGGAGGGATCTTTAGACTGTGCCCTATGAAGAAACAATTTCATCTTTTCTAACACTCCTGGGCATATGACTAACATTCATCACCAACTGTGTCATTCTCAAATACAAAAACAGTATGACATCTAATAAGGGCAACAATTAATATTGAACAAATGGAATTGTATTAGATAAAAATGATTATTTGCATTATGTAAGGATAACTCTTAATTATCTCCTCACTGCTCTGGCTTATTCTAAAACAATACTGTGACATGTTCCACTAAACTACGTCCTACTGAACCACAGAAACAGTCCCTGGAGTGCTCCTTGACAGAGACCGAGAGCAACTACTGCGCGCAGCTGGCGCAGATCCAGGCGCAGATCGGGGCCCTGGAGGAGCAGCTGCACCAGGTCAGAACCGAGACCGAGGGCCAGAAGCTCGAGTATGAGCAGCTCCTCGACATCAAGGTCCACCTGGAAAAAGAGATCGAGACCTACTGCCGCCTGATAGATGGAGAGGATGGGTAAGTTCTGCTTCTAATGAGAAAACAAGTTATTCTAAGGTTATTAAAGATTATTTGAAATCAAGTACAAAGTATCTATGATCCAGAGCATGCGTGGATAAAGCCTCATCTGGTGTTATTTCAGAACTCAAAGAATCGTTGAATCATTGTTTTTCAGTTTCCTGAAAACACAGAATGAAATAATTAATACAAATTCTCTATATTTTTACAGCTCCTGTGTTAAATCAAAAGGCTACAGAGGCCCAGGAAATCAGATAAAAGGTAAACAAAAGCTGTGTTAAGTATTCGATGTTTATTTTTTATGCATTTGATAAATTATAACAGTTCATATGTGTCCTTTTAGATTCATCTAAAGCCGCCATTGTTAAAACAGTTGTTGAAGAAATAGATCCTCGTGGCAAAGTTCTCTCATCCAGAGTTCACACCGTGGAAGAAAAAGCCACCAAAATCAACACCAAGAGCGAACAGAGGGTGCCTTCCTGAACTCCAGCCCCCCAAAAAGAATGGCTCCTAAATTAGAATACCAAACTGAAACTATGTTCCTAAATAAGGGCCCTCTTATTTTTCTGCTTTTCTTCCAATGGATTAAGACAAGCTGTTTTTAGAATGGTAACATTTCTTTGGCTTTCTCTATGGTGGCGTTTCAATAAAAGTTCTCCCTGTTGCAAGTCATCTTCCCTGGTTCTGATCAATCTTTGCATTTTAAATGTCACCTCCAACAGGAACTGAATTTTGCCTTTAATTTCTTCTCTTAAATCCAACGGTCTTCACGAGTTAGGAGTAAGTTTAACATTTAAACTAGTTGGAGTCTTTTTCACACCTCTGTAAAATTTTGCCTTCCTTCCATCCTTCAATAAATACTTACTGAGCACACACTAAGTGCCAGGTATTGAGGATAAAACAGTTAATAAAAATCCAGTCCCTGAGATCAACATGCTCATAGAAGTGGAAATTAGAAATTGAAGAACTGGAAACACCCTAAAAATAAAGGAATGGCTGGCTATAAATGGTGATATTTGAAGGTAGAAGGGAAGGAGAGAGATGTGGGGGCTATAGTAATTGGAGTATTCCAGTGGGTAATTCATAATCTTGACCACTCCACTATGAGGTTGGGGACTCACAAGTACTATACTCAGTTTTTGCCATCCAAGACTACAGAGCAATGAGTCTCTCAAGTAAATCATAACTTTTAGTGAAATATTTAGCACTTGCCATCAATGGATCTATTTCTCTAATCTGTGGCTCAAGGCTACAGGGGGGTCAGAGGAGGTGTAAGCTCAGCAGAAAACCCTCCATAGGCTTCTTTGAGGCTGACAGAATTTACCCCACCCCATATCAATCTCATAACAGAAAGAGCCTGCTTTTTTCTGGAACCAGTACCGTATTACTGATCTCTGCAGAATGGGTTCAGTGCAGCTGAATCACAATCACTTTCAAGCTGTCTTCCCTCCTCTCTTTCCCAGATGCATTTAACAACACCCAGGTGAACTTAAAGCAAATACGTACTTTCCTGCTTAACTCTTTAATTAACCAGTCCTCCCATCATATACCCTTATATCAAATTAGGAGAAGAAAGCATCCTACCACATGGTTTCTTAATCAAAAGTACTTAGCTTACAGACTCTTTGGAAGACAATTTGGCAGTTTCTTACAAAAACTAAACATACTCTTAACCATATGATTCAGCAATCGCTGGATCCTTTACCCAAAGGAGTCGAAAACTTCTGTCCACACAAAAATCTGCACGCAGATGTTTATAGAAGATGTATTCCTAATTGCCAAAACTTGGAAGCAACCAAGATGTCCTTCAGCAGGTGAACGAATAAATAAACTGGTACATTCAGACAGTGGAATGTTACTCAGCGCTAAAAAGAAATGAGCTATCAAGCCATGGAAGACATGGAGGAATCTTAAATGTGTGTTCCTGAGTGAAGGAAGCCAATCTGAAAAGGCTACATACTGCATGATTCCAACTATATGATATTCCAGAAAAGGCAAAATTATGGAGACAGTAGACGGATCAGTGGTTGCCGGAGGTTGTTGGAAAGGGATGAATAGGCAGAGCACAGGGGATGTTTAGGGCAATGAAAATACTTTGTATGATACCGTAAGGATGGATACATGTTATTATACATGTATCCAAACCTGAGATAGGGAACCGGCAGGCCTTATTCAATAAAGAGTCATAAGCCCTAGAAGAAGGTTGTGGATAAAACAGGAGACGGCAGAGAAACCAGCCAAAACCAATTGGAGCCCAGATGGCATGAAAACAACCTCAAGTTACCCTCACTGCTCTTTATACACTAGTTATAATTCCTTGACATGCTAAAAGAAACTCCCGCCAGCGCCATGACAGTTTACAAATGCCATGGCAACTCCCAGGAATTGTCCTATATGGTTTAAATGGGAGAGACCCTCCCCCAACTCTCTACCCCTGTCGCAAGAAACTCACAGACAATCCTCCCTTTGTTTAACACGCAGCCAAGAGAGAAACACAAAAACAGGCAGCCAGCAGCGCACAAACGCTGCTCTGTCTATGGGGAACCACTTTTCTTTTTATGATTTTTTGTCTTTCTTCCTCAATAAACTTGCCTTTGCCTTACTCTCGGCTTGTTCTTGAATTCCTTTTTGTGTGAAGCCAAGAATCCACTTGGCCTACAGGCCGGACCCCAGTTTTGGGGTCCACTTTCCTTTATCAAACCCACTGAATATACAACACCAAGAGTGAACCCTAACGTAAAAAAAAAGTCTTTAAATTTTTTTTTAAAAATTTTTAAATACTTAGCTCCTATTTATTCAGTATTTAAGATGTCTGACCACCACCTTATAACTCAGGGAATAAACTCCACTAGAACCAGGTTGAATAAACTCTTTTTACTAAAACCAGGCTATATTCAGGACTTTTTCACATAAATTCCAGGAAACAGTCCATAATAATTGGTAACCAGCACTTAGTATGTGCTAGACTCTATTCTGAGCATCATTGAATCACTGAATCAGGACAGCCCTACGAGGTAGGTATTGTTATTATCCTCGTTTTATAAATAAGGAAACTGAAGCAGAGAGCAGCTGCGTAATTCGCCCAAGGTCACACACCTCATAACTGGAGGTGCTGGAATGCGAACCCAGGCAGTCTGGCTCGGAGTCTGTGCTTACCCACAACATAATACCACACTCTGAGAACCTCACCACTCCACCTTCCTTCTCCCAAGAAAATGGATGAAGAAACTAAGTGCACGCTAACTCTAGGCGGTCAGAGATTAGCAGAGCCTTCAATTCATTCAGAGTCTCCTTCCCAAACAAACCTGGGAAGTCATTTCGTGGGAGGAATTAGCACACTAGAATCTGAGTCTCAGGAAAAAAAAAAAAACTAGGAATCCAGTGACAAAGCAAACCTCATTCATGTTCAAGAAAAATGGTTATCCAAACTTGCTACGCAAATGTAGAGCATGAATTTTAAACAAAACGGCATACTTGAAATTAAACAATAAGTTCATCACAAGGAAAATGAGCATATGACCATTAGAATAAGATAATGAAATCAAGGGGTTTCTTTGATCAGGTTTGCCTGCCCTGCTTGCTTTTGGTTGCTTGCTTTTTGTTGTTTTTTTCCCCTATTTCCATGAAGCTGAAGGCCACATAGCTGAACACTGAAACTTAACCTTCATAGGCTACTTTATAGATAACATTCATAAGTCACCATGGTAATGATCACTTCATCTGTTTTTCAAGAATGTGGGCCAGCTCCCATCAGTTCAAACCCATTGAAACCACCAATCCTTCAACTGGGCCTATGCAAGCGACCAAGAGTTGGCCTTTTCACATCAAAGGGCCAAAAACTCCACCCTCAGATCATGCTAATGCTACCATTTTCTGTACATATGTCCTATGAAATGCCAGGAACCCTGCGCCATACACTTGCGCAGAATGACCCTGTTACTTCATTTTTCCCCACTGCCAATCACCTTTCCCCATGCCTTAGACCACCCGGCTTCCCTAACCCATAGATATCCTAAGGCTTTTCTTTGGGGAGGAGGATATAAGAGCTGTTCTTCCACCTCCCCACTCCTAGGCCTTGCAAATAAATCTTTTCTCTTTTGCAGAACTCATGGGAAAACTCATGATTTACTGTGCGAGGGCATAATGGACCTGGACCCAGCCACTAACAATAATATAATGAAAAACTTTATCCTGTAATAAGGAAACATTAACACTATATAAGTTTAATTCGACTCGATTATTTTGAATACCTATCATACACACATCATATAATGCTCTGATACTTAGTAGATTCTCAAGAAATGACCCATGATATATTGCTGAGTATCAGTTTCTTGCCATGAATAAAATAATCACTCTCAGGAAGAAATATATAGATAGAAGCGGCCCAGAGATTTTGTTAAATCTCTCCTCCACTTTCAGAAAGGACTAAACATACCTAAACTTTTAAAGTAAGTATTAGTTTAGAGGAAATCTATGATTACAAAAATTCAGGAGACTTGCCCATATGAGTAAACAGGCGAGACAATCTTCCAAGGAGTTAAGCATCATGTGTTCTAGTCTTGCTTTGATATAGAAATGCTTTGTGATCTGTGTTGCCCCTGAGCTTCAGAGCCAGCTCATCTCCAAAATGGTTTAATAATATATGCCTAACTTATTTCACAAAAGATAAGTTAATTAGTATTTATAAAATATCTAGACACAGATTATGTTAATAATAACTTTGCAATCTCATAATAACCCTTATCTAAGAAACAAAAGCCTTGTATACTATGACACTGACAACAGACCCTTTTCCTTGTTTTATTCATGGGAAGCATGGGAAAAAGATTTAAAATCTGACCAGATCACAACAAAATCAGTAATAAGTCTCTTAATAGGAGCTATATCTCTTAACGTACCACGTACTGTTCTAAACATGAGCCAATGGTCCAAATTATAGTTTTATATTTATTAAAATTAAATATTTGGGGTCAAAAAAATACCAGCAGCCCACCACATATTCCATATCTTTCAGTGAGAATCATGTTGGATATTTTTCAAAATGATCAATATCCATAACATTGAAAAATCACATTCAGAAAAAAATTACTGTTTCAAAACTAAACCTGTAATTAGTTAACCAATCAATTTGTAGCATTATAAGTGATAGAGACCTGGGCCTGTCTGACATGTCCACTTTATCATAATAATTTAAATAATTAACATTTACAAAATGTTTGTGCCCTTTGGACTGTCTTATAGTCATTCATTATTTGAGTTGCCCAATATTCATTTGAGATTGTTCAGTGTTATTATTTTCATTTGTCCAGTAGGGAAATGAAGCATGACAAGACTGGATACCTTCCCAAGGGCATCAAGGCAGGAGAATAAAGAGTCTACTTCCCCACAACAACTCATCCTCTATCTAGAGTACCATAATTACTGGTTTTCTAGGTAGCCATGAGAACAACCCTCTACTTCATGTATCTTACTCCCCAATGATCAATGTAATGCTCACTTCTCAAAATAATTCATAATGCCTTAAATGCATAAATTTAAATGAAAAGACAGTAAACAATATTTTTGAGGTAGGGAAGTGAACAATGTGGAGACTCAGAAGTTAGTTGAATTGAAATTCTGCTGGACCAAATCAAGAAATCTTAATCCAAATAATTCTCCATCAACACCAT